ATTTATAGAAGGTCACTCATGCCCTATTTAGGTATTCCTCATGAAGGAAAAGCTGTGCCATGTAGATTGTTCAAGTTTTTCAGTTAAATTGTGCAAACTCAATCCAACACAAAAATTCAAATCCTCCTTGCATATAATGCTAAGGTTATGTCAATCCTCTCCTTGGGGAATATTTGACTGAAGAGGGAGTTATTCGTAAAAGTTCATGCATTGACATCCCTCAATGAAACAAGCTAGGTAGAAGAAAAAATAAACGCTTATTAGAAATTGCACGAGCTATCATGTTCCAATCTCATGTCCCAAATTTTTTGAGGGCATATTGTACTCATAGTTGTTTACATAGTCAACTGAATGCTTTCTGCTGTTCTCCAATTCCTAACACCTTGTCAAGTCTTCAAAAGTACCTATCCATCAACACAATTCATCTCATCAATTCCTCTAAAGATCATTGGGTGTTCATCATTTGTTTATGTTCGTCAACAGTTTAGAAGCAAATTTGATTCCAAAGCCATAAAACATATCTTCCTTGAAATGCGCCAAATAAAAAAAATATAGATGTTAATATTCAGTTATCGAGAAATGCTATCACTGTATATGCATACATTCTTTCAAAGTAATCATTTTATTCCAAAAATGATGTTTAGGAAGATAGTAGAAATGTAGAAGAACATTCTTTTTGGGAATTTGGAAGCAGTACCTAAACACAAGATCCTAAACTCTTTGAGTCAAATCCTCTTGATCCATCTATGTTTTCCGCGGACATCACTTCTGGCCTAGAAGACCACTCTTAGTATACTCAAGAAGATAGAAAAGCCAGACACCTGTTGAGGAGCAAATGCAAGAAAGAACTAGTCGTAAAGCTAGACTAGAGCCAATGTAGGAAGAGACTCAATCGATAATGCTTGTGGTTAGTGTACATTACAATATCTCAATTTACCAATTGCACAAAGGAGAGGGGCTAAGTCTTGTATTCATCATCTTTTTTACAATTTCATATCATGTAAGAAATTGTCACCTGAATTTACCACTAAACTAATGGAAATTCAGATTCCTAATAGCATTCAAGAAGCCATGCAAGATCATGGGTGGAAGCGAGCTGTTATTGAAGAACTCAGGGTATTTGAGACAAATGGTACATGGGAACTTGTTGCTCAATCTTTGGGAAAGTAACTTGTGCTATATAAGTGGATCTGAACACAATGTAGGTGGTACCATTAATAGATTCAAGGCTCATTTAAACCTATTGGAAGCTTGATTAGTTAGACGTTGACTATTAAGAGACCTTTAAACCAATTGGAAAACTTAACACCATTCTCTCTCATTAGTGGCAACAAGTTCTGGTTGGAAGCTTCATTAGTTAGACATCAAGAATGTCTTTCTCAATAGAGATCTAAAAGAAGTGTACATGGAAGTCTCTGAGGGACTCAAAGATCAGACGAATGCAAACAAGATTTGTAAGCTGAAAAAGTTTCTCGGTCTCAAGCAGTCGCTTAAAGCTTGGGCTAAAAGGATTTCTAAAGCTATAAAGAAATTTGGATATGTTCAATGTCAATAAGATTATACCCTATTTGTTAAACATTTTTTTGGTGGAAGGATATCTATCATAATTGTCTATGTAAATGATATTCTACGCTAAGGCCTTCTTATTCAGTTTTATGGTTTTCCTTATTTGTTTTTCTTACACTAGACTGTCTTTCTTAATACTTTTGACTAGAATATTATGTTGCTCAATTAGTTGAGATATTTTTTCATGTATAATTCTTCTCATAATCTTTCCTATAATAATGTAAGTAATTAGAATCAATTAAAATCCCTATTATAATTTAAATTTTTTTATCTGTAAATAGAAATTCTGTATATACACTGGTTGCAACAAGGTAAGATGTATTAGAAAATGAAGAAAGTATTTTTTTTCTCCGAAATTTTCATGATATTAAAATCAAAATAAATTTTTTTTAGAATCTTAATTTTAGAGTTTTTTTAACTCTAAAATAATATAATAAGCTAAGTTGATATCCACTTATCAATATCTACTCTCACTACCACCCTTGACAGAGTTGTAGCCTCACCATCGACCTGCTCCCGACTCCCGTGATCGTTTCTAAAACGCGTGAGCCATATGCATCGCCAACAATAGAAACACATGAGCTACATGTGCCAGAACCAAAAGAAGCGCATGAGTCACGCGCGTCGCTGTAAAATCCTATTCGGCCCGAAAATTGTAGCATCGCCGCCAGAAAATCCCGATCATGACAGATCTGATCTTGTTGCACATGATTTGGCTCAAATTGCACTTCTCCTGACCTGTCTTCGTGTGACTGCCGCGTGTTATGTCTGCTAAGCTTTTGTCGCGTCCTGTTGTGCACGGAGATGACGTCTTACCCTTCTGTGCGCTGAGCTGTTCTGATCTTGTTTGTCCGTGCGCTGAGCCGAGCCGCTTTTTGTCGTGCATCTATTGTCACGTCCTTGCCAGACCGAGCTGTTTTTGGTCACCATCTCCAAGGTTTCAACATATTTCCTTTTTTCAGGCCTAATATTGCTGTCTCCAACTCCATTGGTGCTAGTTAGAAGATATGTTCTTTCCTTGTGAGATTAACTAATAGATATTGTTTCCTATTTCTAGTTACTTTAAAATGATAAGAAAAAAAATTGATTGTTTCTTGTTCGTATAACTTTTTATTACAAATCTATCCCGTAAACTTGTTGAAATTATTTTTCTTGTTTGGTCAAAATCTTGTTTATTATTTATCAAAGTTGGAGAATTGCAAGGTTACATGATATGAAAAAAGTAGATGTTGCTAGTTTGGAATCTAATAGATGAGACTTTGAAAACTCATTTGTAATGTTTTGGCTCGTCAATTTCATCCAACGTTACATTGTCTGAACATATCTGTTCAATACTGTAGCAAAAATATGGAATGAAACATTTTTTACATATTTACAAGTGGGTAATGATGTGCAAATTTATAGACTCTGAAATAAGATTCATGGCACAAAATAAGAAAAGATGATTATTTCTCAGTATTTTTATAAGTTAAGTGGATTATGACATGAGTTATTTTTCTAAACTAAATGGATTAGAACTTTTCTTCCTAATAGTTGAAGGTGGCGAATTTTGAGATTGTTGTTAGGAAAAAGAATTCTTCGTTAGTTGTCAATTCTAAAGTAATAAAGGAGTAGTTAGGCAAGACAAAATCTATAAATGGAAGAATCGCCAAACTCTAATTATCAATATTGGTCATTAAGAGTGTTTTTGTTGTAGATTTTTCAATAAGACTTGTTTTTTTTGGATTTCATGGTGCTTTAAATCAACTAGAATATCCTTTTCAACATAAGCAATGACGTTGTTTGGTACTTAATTAGAAGATTCACCACTAGAAAACTCAACTTGATAAGTAGGAATAACAACCTCTTGTACAACGTTTAGTGCATCCACAAGAAAACTCAACTTGATAAGTAGGAATAACAACCTCTTATACAACATCTATCTTCGTATCTTCAATATTATTAGTTAATTTCTGGCATTTTCATAAAATTTTACTCTCATTGACCAATTCATTGACCCTTTCATCCTTTAATTTTATGTTATGGGAGTGAAGTGGGCTGTGGCTAGTTCGATCAAAGAAGAAATATGGTTATGGAGGGGCATCGCGAGATAAAAGCTACAACAAGAACTTAGGCCTCACACCTTTTGACCATCATAAGAGTCATCTAGAAGGAAAGAAATAGAAAAGCTTTTAAGGGCACATAATTCGTTTATGATAGGATCATGAATTCCTGTTCCATACACTAGGATAAAAAAGGTCATTTTCTTTATTTTATGCTTATGTCTACTAAAGTTGTAGATATGTAAGGTTATTGTTTGATCAAAGATTCAAGACTTTCTTGATATAAGAATCTTTCAATTTTAAATATTTCTTATTATTGAATATGTCCACTTTAAGGTCTTATTTTGTATCGTAAACACCAAGGGTTGCTTCGCATGTTCAAAATAATCGAACCAAAACCATGGAAAAAAAAAAAAAAGAATCGATGATATCCTATAGATCTGCTCTTGAATGGAGAGGATGCCCTTCAAACAAAATACGAATAGAATGAGACCATTGGTCATACAGAGAAGCAAAAAAGATCTGACTCTCTTAAAAGTGTTAAACAATATATTTTATCAATGGTCTTCCTTTTTCTTTTTCTATTTTTTGGATAAAAAGAATATTATTGAGAAAAAAGAGAAAGATACAACCCTTAGGTTGTAACACTAGGAAACAACAATAAAGACAAATGAAAAGGGTCATCCTAAGGGAGGACAATTAGTTGTCTCCTAGTTCAGATGGAGTTTAGCGTGAGTATGGTTGGAGTAACACCCGTGAGCTTTTGTTTGTAAAGTAAGTCAATATGTCCCACATTTCCTGAAAAGACGAGTAGCAATCATAAAAAGATTCTTCTATTGCACTCAAGCCATGGAATCCACAAGCCTCCATGTATCATCCCCTGCCAAATGGGTTTTGCCTCTTCCGAACCCTCTCCCCATGAATGCTAGTTCGCATTAGACAATCCACTGTAGGAGAAACTACTCAATAAAAACCAAACATTGCAAACACCTTAGTGTTTATCTTCCATGCTATTTCGTAAAGAAAGAACAATCGGGATTGCGTTTGGTCAAAGCTAAGGTGTTTGGAGTCAAAGCTTGATTGGGCCAACAGATTTCTAACATATCATCAGTGTTGAGCCTTCAATGAGTAACAGTCCATGCAAACACCTTTACCTTGGAGGCAATCAGGGCTTTCAAAAGGTCCTTGGCAATAGAGAATTGCAAGTGGGGTTTTTGGTGATGTAATCAAACAAGGATTTTATAAGTATATATCCCAAGGGTTCTAAGGTTCAAAATTTTTCTATCAGGATGTGGATTGATATGTGCTTCCCTCTTTCTTTTCTTATATAATAAGTTTATGTTACCATCTTATTTTCTTGAGTTATATTTTTTGTACCCTGATGTCACGCAGAATGCTGGCTCATAAGTTTGTAGAGCGTACAGAAGAATCAGAAAATTACCTGAAGAAACAAAAGTCCAAAAAATCATGGTGGTCCTTTGGATGGTGAGTGCTTTTTCCTTAAGAATCTATTATAGTCATCTATATTCATATGGGGATGCTACTGTCTATGATGCATTATTCTTTGCAATTACTTTTTCAGGAATACTCAATCTGTTGATGATGAGAGTGAGCCAGTTCAGTTCACTGAGGAGGACTGGGAACAATTAAACAAAATCATTGGTTATAGGGAGGGTGATGAGCAATCTGTAGCAACTAATGAGAAACCAGATGCTCTTCATATGTTTTTGGAGGTCTGCATGAGACATAATGCTTCCAAGCTTTTCGATGGGGAGCAGCAATGTCTTGCAGAAATATCATGTGAGGGCCTTAAATGCTCTGTCAAGCTTTATCCAGAGACCAAACTTTTTGACATGAAATTGGGGTCATATCGGTTGTCATCGCCAAGTGGTCTCCTTGCTGAGGTTGATTATTTCATGTTTGAAAACCTCTATATATAAAAACTGAGTTGCTTTTTTGTACTGTTAGTTGCAATATAATGTTTCTCTCTCTCTTTCTCTCTTTCTGTGTAGAGTGCTACATCTTTTGACTCTTTAGTTGCCATCTTCTGCTACAAGCCTTTTGATGCAAAAGTAGACTGGAGCATGGTTGCTAAAGCTTCTCCATGCTACATGACTGTATGTGGTTGCTATCTATTATCCTACTTTTAGAATTTTTTTCAATGTCATTTTCATTTATTAACTGCATGTCACTTCCCAGTATCTAAAGGATTCAATTGATGGAATTGTCAATTTCTTTGAAAGCAATGCTGCTGTTAGTCAGACCATAGCACTGGAAACTGCAGCTGCTGTACAGGTATTTTTTTTCCTCTCCCTATTGATGACTCTTTATTGAATGCCAATTAAAAAACATTTTTTGGCTTACTGAAAGTGCTTCGGTTATTTCATTTGGTGAACTTTCTACTAACAGTATACTTAATTTATTACCAGATGACAATTGATGAAGTCAAACGCACTGCTCAGCATCAAGTGAACAGAGCATTAAAAAATCGTGCAAGGTTTATTACCAGTTGCACTTTACTCTTGGTAATTTCTTTTTGAAAGAAAAGTGTGATATTAACAAAGGACCAAGGTATGCCTTTTGGTGAAGTGTGAGTTGTCACCCCACTGCTGTATGTGTGGGGAGCCTAAGGAACATAAAGTGTTGTTATGAGGGTTTATCTTTGCTAGCTTTTTGTTATTTGGTTTTAAACAGATTGCTAGAATTTTCAAGCGAGAGTTTCAGCCCCCTCAAATTGTTTGGGATATGATCTTCCCTGCTTCTCTTTAGTGAAGGCCCAAGTTTCTTTAGAGGGATACTGTTATTGTCTTTGCAAAGAGATTGGGTCACTATTTTGTGTTAATATCTTTTATTTTCTTAGTTGTATTTTTCTGTTCTGGTTGGTTGGAGGATAGTTCATTCTATCTGTATCTTTTGAAACCCATGAGTGGGAGAACTTCAACATATTTTAGAAAGAACGAAGAATATTTGAAAGGTTAGCAACCAAATGATCTCTTATTCTAACAAAAGGTCCCTAAAAAATTTTGCTTCTCTTTCTTTCTAGATTAACTATGTACTAGCCAAAGGATTGTGAGAGACGAGCTTTTCCCGACCTTGTAAGCTCTAATGCCATCTTGGGCCCTCTTATTAGCCATGAGACCACAAACAACTACGACAAATTTAGGAGATTGAGGGTTGAATCATACAACTTTTTAGTGTTCGCAGATGTAAAGAGTTAGAGAAGATAAATACTGAATATTTCTTGTGTTTTATTCAAGTAGGGGTACATATACATGTAAATAGATTCATATATGGTAACCATTATCACCCTATTAATTTTCTTCCTAATTATGCTAATATATATCTTAGTATTTTGTAGGTTGTATGGAAAGTTAGGAATTCTAGAGCTTTTGAAGGAATTGAGGATACAAAGGGTTTTGATGTATTGAAAAATAGATGGCTTAGGACCCTAGAATGTTTTGTTTTTGGGTCATCCTCTGATAATGGTCCAAATGTTTAGGAATACTTCCTGTTTGTAGGATTAAACTGTAAATAATTGTACATGATCTGCACCAGTTGGTGCTTATAGCAATACATATTATACTTTTACTTTAAGAAAAAAAATTTGAAAAAATAATCATACTATTATGCATAGAAAATATTATATAATATTCTAATACTTTCCCTCAATCTAAAATATAGATATTAATCATGTCTAGTTTGTTCCGAGGATACTCAATCCGTGTTCTATTAAGAGATTTGGTGAATATATCAGCAATTTGTTCTCCTGAAATAAATATGAATAATTGGTGGTGGTACTTGAGTTTGAGGCACACGAACACATCATCAACTTGCTCAAGTAGAGTTGGAAGCACATCATCTGGAGGATACTATTATCTGTTTACTCAGTAAAGATACTTAGTATGAAATTATAGATGAGTTACTCGTCGTCTGCCCCTCACTTATAGATTTGGATAATGAAGAGAAGAACGGTGTATTCTCTGAAAAGACCACATCAGCTGATACCAAATATTTATTGAAATTTGAAGAGTAGCAGTGGTATCTTTTATGAAGGCGAGAATATAAAAAAAAAATACACTTTAAGACCTTTGGGTCCAATTTTGTCACACTAGGTCGCGTATTTCGATCATAACAAGTGCTACTAAATATCTTAGGTTGCACCGGAAACAGAAGATGACATATGATTGATTAAGAAACAAGAAACAAGCCGTAGAAACAACATTAGCCCAGAATTGCTTAGGGACTTACATTTGGGGACCTACTCGGAATATCTTTGTATCTAGTCATAGATGGTTTGTACTAAATTAACATAGACTTATCTGTTGAAAGAGAAAAGTGATGTGTTCTCATGGTTTCAGCCATTTCATAAAATGATATATATACAGTTTGATGCTAAAATTAAGATTTTAAGAAAAGATAACGGTACATAATATATGGATGGTGGATTCCGTGCCTACTTGGAGTTTAATGGGATAATTCATCAGACAAATTGTGCCTACACCATTAAATAAAATGATATTGTTGAAATGAAAAATAGACACATATTGGAGGTAGCTTAGTTTCTTATGTTCACCATGAATCTACCAAAAAGTTATTGGGAAAATGTAGTTCTTTTAGCTGCTTATCTTATCAATAGAGTGCCTTTGATAACTCTTGATTTTAGAAGTCCTTTGGAGATTTTGTAGGAAAAAAATTCCTTTACTATTCCCCTAAAGGTGTTTGGATGTGTTTGTTTTGTCTATACTAGAAATGTGGGCGAGTTGGAATCAGAGGCTCTTAGGTGTGTATTTGTTGGATATTCTCCTACTAAAAATTGTTATGAGTGTTATCATTTTTTTTTAGAAGATACTTTGTAATTATGGATGCTACTTTTTTTAGCGAATTCGAGTTTTATTTCAGTTCAAGCCCAACAATGCTTCAGGGGGAGAGTGAGAAGGAAGAAGTTATACCTAGTTTGTTAACTATTTACAGTAATATTTAGGAAGATCTTATTTTGGAAGATCTTATTCACGTAAAAAATGTCGGACACCTAGATCAACGGGACTTGAAAAGATATTTAAGAAGAGATAAGATAGAAAAAACCATCATATAGTCTATTTCAGGTCAAAAATCTTCTTCAGTTCCTGAAGATATTGGTGACTTACTGTAGAAATTTGGAAAAATAATTACACTTTATTTTTCTCTACTTTAGGTATTATAACTGACTCGTATATATACAAGACTTTCTAAGTACCAATAGGGAAATTTTCCTTATAATAAAGATTCCAAATAATTACATCATTGTACCATTGTCAGTTATCAGAATCTTAATTTTAATATCAAATTATGTACATATCATTTTATGAAATATTTGAAAATATGAAAATACATCATTTTTTGCTTTCAACGAGTAAATTCATGTCAATCGAGTACAACAGTTAATAAAGGTAGCAAACCATCGATGAGTAAATAAAGAAATGTTCCCATGCATAAGAGTAAATTGTCATAAAAGGGATAGAACTTCTATTATTACTTAAATGATAAGAACTCTTTTTATGTTTAGTAAATTCACATGCATCACAAAAGAAAAAATTCATAAAAGTTCTCTTAAACAGATTAGGATATAATTTTTCTAAAAGAAATAAGGAAGGGTGTCCCAATTGCCGGTGCCATTGTAGTATTTCCAGATTGACTTACTTGTTCTCAATGGTGGCTTTATTCCCAATTAGGTTATGACTTCTTTTCAAGACATATAAGCTATCCTGCAGTTTACCAGTGCCAATCATCCTCCCTGTTCGAAGATTCTGAAAGATATAATAATTAGGAAAAAATTCGATTTTAGAGTTTAGGTCTTTAGTAATGGCACTAATATGTAAAAAGTTATTAGGAAAACTAGGTAAATGTAAAACTGAAGACAGTGTAATAGTTGAAGTACAATTAATAGAACCTGTTCTAAACACAAGAGTGTATGACCCATTTGCTATACGAATATTTTCTCCTTTAGTGTAAGAAAAATATGTTAGAAATTCAGTGGAAGAGTTTGTCATGTGTTTGTTAGCTCCAAAGTTTATAATTAAAATATTAGAAGTGGAAATAAGAGGGGAAGAAGGAATACTTAATTTACCATATGTGATGCACCAATAGTTAAGTTGAGACAAAATGCGCTTTAAATTCTGAATCTCTTGGGTGGAAAAAATTCTAATTGTTGGTGTGTCAGGTGCTTCACTTACCTCACCCAAGTTTGCTTGAGCTCTCATAGGCTCACTTTTCCTTCCCCCATGTCCTCTAAAGGGTCGTTCATGTAATTTCCAACAAGTCTCCTTAGTGTGTCTCGGCTTACCACAGTAGTCACAATTCCATTGGTTTTTGGAGTGATCGGACTGAATAATTAATCAAACTTTCTCAACTAGTGCTATGTGGAGCATGACAATTCTTCTACTTTTCTCTTACTGAATATAAGAATAAATTTGTTCTAATGAGGGAAGGGGATCCTTTCCAAGTACCTAGATCCGTATCTGATCATATTCAGCATTCAGACCAGTCAAGAAATCATAAATCCGCTCATTTTCTATCATTTTCTGAAATTTGACAGCATCTCCTGGGCAATCTGGTTGGAAATTCTGATAATAATTGAGCTTCTACCATAGTTCACTGAGTTCAGAAAAATATTGAGAAATAGTCAATTCTCCTTGTTTTGTTTTGTGAATCTTATTTCGGAGTTTATAAATTTGAGTATCATTACCCATTTGTGAGTATGTAACAGACATTGCATTCCATATTTT